CTTTGGAGTAGGTGGCTTAAAATTGGCATTTGCAGTACCTTTTACAGAAGCTGTTTCAAGTGGAGAAAATCAAATATGCTATCAATTTTCTTCACATGTGAATAAGCTGAAGAACTCCTAACTGCCCTGCCATGACAATGTGCAAGCAGGTGAGATGGCACAACTTTGCTGCTGTAAGAGCTATTTCCCCATGTATCAATTTATTTCTGTAATACAAGGAAGACATTTATCAAAATGCCCTATTATTTCCCCTGCTTTTTATATAGCCACATGTTCCAGTGAATAGAATATGTGATGCACACAGACAGTTGAACTTCACTGTAACAAATACAGTCAGGACTAACAAAGAATATTGGCCCAGATTTTCCACTGGGAAGACAGCTGTTAGTCCAATGAAGATGGAAATTGCACACAGCGACGCTGCAGAATCCCAAAGGAATTGTCTGGGAAATTGAAGACTCTGCTGGACAATTTCTCAAGGCCTGAAATCCCCCAAAAAGTCTCTAATTAACTCAGAAGGCAGTGATTTCTGATAAAATCAAGTGAAATAATTATTCAGGAAAAGTTAGACTATTAAACACATGGTGCAACTCCTGAGTAACTATTCAAAAGACCTATACTTAACTCACCACCACCTCGCCACACACACACCCTCCCTGAGTGCTTATGCCCCTCAAAATTCTGACAACCAGCTCCCCCCACGCACAGTGACCACTGCCAAAGCATCCCAGAAACTTCTGTTGAACTCAGCCTATTCCCTTTGGACCAGACTCACCATGGAATCGACCCATTCCCAATCTGACCCACCTGCCACCACACCTACCTACTGCTGGACCTTGTTGAAACCCCCGCCCCACCAAAAACAGCTGGACCCAACACCATATAGATCAGCACTTCACCCTCCACCAGGCTGGATCCAATCTCTCATTATTGTTGGAACTCACCCAATTGAGCAACCCTGTCACCGATGCCAAATCTGAGGCAACCTCTTTCACTGTTAAAACAGAAAGTGCCAATCACCCAGATGATAGCTCACAGCCAACCTGATCTAGCTTAAAACACTGCATCACTTACCTAGCAACCTTGCTACCTGGCACCTTACACAACTGGCATGCTATCCACCTGGCACCCTATCCTCCCAGCACCCTAACATCACACATACCTCATACATACTGTTTGACGGAATATGGTAGCTGACTGCTGTGAAAACGAGGCTTGGTTTGCCTTCTTCTGATAATTCGGCACTACACAAACAAAAAAACCTGTCAGAATGGAAGTACAGTTCTGCATTTCTGAAGTGACCCTGACCAGAATCTCCTCTCAGAAATACAAGGCTCCCTGCTTTTGTTAACGAAAGGGCCGGAGCAGCAACTTACAAGAGTTTGCCACTCCTTGAAATTCTAGCTCATTGTACCATATGTTTGCAACAATATGGTTTGTCAATTTAAATGGTGCAGCAATCAATTTGCATTGAAATCTTGATTGCCTTCAAAAATAAATTACAGCATAGTCTGCATTATGGCCAAGGTTGGAGGGAAGAACTGATTCCGTTCCTAGATCACTCCTCCACTTGTCATAACAAAGTTTAATTTTAAGAACCGTGTAGCCAAGTCTTTAGGTACCAATTAAATTAAATATTAGAAACAAGATAACCAGGCTTGTTATAATCAAAAAAGTAGCTCGTCATAAACAAAAAGAACTCTGATAAAGATGCAAATATTATTAACAGAAGGTACAAACTGTGCAAATATTTACACACGCAATCACACTTCTGGATAACTAACACTAATACCCCTCTCCTCCTTCCAAGTGAACGTTCCCAATGTCTGACAAAAAAAAACACTCTGCAATGTTACCTGAAAAATACATTGGTCAAGTGATAGCTAAGCTCAGGAAAAATAGTATTATTCATGAATTGTTCCCAAAATGTCAATCTGTAACTTAACTCACTTTGCACACACAAGCTGTCACCACTGGGATATCTTCTCAAACCAGGTTAGCTGAATTTTATTTTCTACAGACAGAGGGAAAGATATTGGAACCTTCTTCAGGAATCCTCCATGGGTGTGAAGCAGCCTTCTAAGAACATTGAACATAGAACAGTACAGGCCCTTTGGTCCACGATGTTGTGCCGACCTATTACCCTACTAAAATCAAATAGTGGTCTTCATTTTCATCTCACATTCTGTCTCAAACGTCTTTCATTACAGGGAGAGTGTGAGACAGAGAAAAGGCTGTTGCTCCTCAGGCAAGATCCCCCAGTCACTGTTCAAAATTCAGTACATAGGAACAGGAGTAGGCCACTCAGGACCTTGAGCCTGTTCCACCATTCAATGAGATTATGGCTGATATGTGGTCTAACTCCTGTGTCCGGTCTTTGGCCCATATCCCATAATACCTTTGCTTAACAAAAACTATCTCAGAGTTAAAATGAATAACTAATCCTACATCAACTGCCTTTTGTGGAAGGAAGTACCAAACTTCTCCCACTCCTGGTATGTAGAAGAGCTTCCTTTCATCTCTCCTGAACAGTCTGGTCCTAATTCTCAGTCTACGCACCCTAGTTCTAGAATCCCCAACCAGTGGAAATAGTTCACCTGTTCTTTTCCTATTAATATCTTGAAGACTTTGATCAAATCATCCTTAATCTTCTAATTTTTTGAGAAAACAATTTGTATAATCTCTCCTCATAACTTAACTCCTGAAGTCCAGGTATCACTCAGGTAAACCTATGTTTTATTCCCTGCAAGGTCAACATATCCTTCTTAAGGTGTTGTGCCCAGATATACTCAGTGCTCCAAATAGAGTCTAACCAGGGTTTTGTTTAACTGCATCATCCTTATACTGTAGTCCTCTGGAAATAAAGGCTAGCATTCCATTAGCTTTTTTTTTATTTTCTGCACCTGTTCATGACATTTTAAAAGATCTATGCACCTGAACCTTCAAGTCTCTTTGGACATCCACTATATAACTTCAAACTATCTGGAAATAACTTTTCCTTTTTATACCCTTTTATATGCTGATAATAATCTTTTTCAGTCAAAAATGGATAACCTCACAATTTCTTACAATGAACTCATCTGCCACAGTTTCCACCCACCCCCATTCACTTCATCTATTAACGTTTTTATTCCACTCACAAAACTGGTTACGGGGCATCTCTGAAAGTTCCTAGACTGATAGTCAGTGCCTTACGTTTTGGAAGGCATATCCAGCCAAGAATTACACATTAGTATTTGGATCACAGATATTCAGAATTCCTTCATGGTACTTCTGGTAAGCATAATGTGTAAAGTTTTGATCTGTTAACCACACCAAAAAGATCCTCAATTCCAGATGATAGTTGAAACTTTGCACAGTTGTGGCTGCCTGCCTGAACTTATCCATTGAGCAAATAACTATTTTTGTGCCTTGCTCGTTCTCATCAACAGAACATTCGTCAGCCCTCTGAAAATAATTCAACTGTTTAAAAATTATTTCCATAATAATCAGTTACCCAGACCTAAATTTCATGTCATACAATTTCCTGTCATACTGTTTCCTGAAACTCCCAGCATTTCGCTAAGCAGGTTGTTGATATTTGCTCCCATGCTGTGTGTAGAAATTATTCTTGTTTTTATGTTATGCACTCAGTTATTTCCCTCAGTAGTAACTTAGCCACTCCACTGTGGTCCTGCCAAAGGTACTGTCTTTCTAGTGAGACATTAAATCATTCCCCTCCTGCCATATGCTTTATAGTGTTCCCTAGAAGATTCTTTATACTATTTTGAGACAGCAAGTGAGTTATCCCTGGTGTCTTGGCCAATAATTTTCCCTCACTCTACACCATAAAATGGATTACCTGGGCATTACCTCATCGTTGCTTTGGAACTTTCCCATGTACAAGTTGGCTATTACATTTCCTACATTACAACAGTGATCATATATCAAATGTACCTCACTGGCTTTAAAACGCTTTTGGATCAAGGTTGTGAAAGATGCTATATAAACACAGAGCTCTTTCTAAAACTTCCAATGCCAGGATTGATTTTCAAAAAAAAACTGAATAAAATGTACAAGGGCACTTAATAAAATAGCTAGACATTACAGTGTACAGACAGCATTTTTCTATTCATCTGCTCCATTCAGTTCAAGTATCTCTACAGTCACTATCATCTGCTGTGGCCAGAGTTTATTGTGATGAAAAAATAAAATCCAATTTCACCAAAATTATAAATGTTTCCTAGATTGATGTTTTATAGGAGGGATGGAAAAACATCCAGTCAGGCATACACTAGTTACTTTCTTCATTTTGCCAATGACTCCCTTAAATATAAATGATGCTGCTAAAGCAATCCCGTCACCCACTTCATCATTTGAATTTGATGTCTTCAGAACAGACTCTTGCATGAAAGCCATCACCAGATGTTTTCATATTGCTCTGTACCAACTACTTAAATACATGACAAACTCTTTGCCACAATCCTGATGAGTCAGTCACCTCGGGAGTAATAATTCAACTCTGATGATTGCAGGCTTGAATTATGGGCCAAATGAATGATTTGGGGCTTTGTTTACACAAATAAGATGCCTTCTTACTCGGATATCTTCACACACTGCTCCTTGTCAATTTCCTTATTACAATTGTCTAGAAATCCACTTCTGCTCAATGGTGTGCTGAAATTTTAATCTGGATTCCATGCTTAGGGGTCTGCAGTGGAACCTGAACTCATGATGAATCAGCTACTAATTCAATTTGGCATAAGAAAATAAAAAGAGTAAGCATAGGTCTTTAAAGAAAACGTAATTTACTTTTTTCTGGTGAATCTGTTACAATGCCAAGTTCAGGAATATACGTTGTTAGTTGCTATTTAAAATTTTGCCTAAATTCTCCCACCACCTACTTCTAAAATCAGAAATAATAACAGCTATAGCCCTAGGTGTATTTTTTTTTAAATGCATAATTGGACTGGAGTGAAATTCATTCCAATCATCAATCCTGACATAATGAGACAAACAGCTCTGTATCAGATGTTTATTGCATGTTGTACAACCAACTGCTACATTTTTACCAACATACTGAACTACATTAGAAAATTATTCAACAAATATAGCTGATAAAACAGCTTGTTAATATAAACACCAGTAAACTTGATGAAGTAAAAGATTCACTTAACTGGAATTAATCAAAACACACTACATTCCTTGAACAGTACATCAATCACAAGACTGAATGGTGTTCTTACTTAACAAAAAAACAAAAGAATCTTTGTAATCATACAACTGATCCCAAAGATTACACTGCTGTCACAATTAAACGTTACTTGCTATGTAGCCACATCTTTTACTTAGCATGTATGCACTACAGCATTTACAGCAGTGTTTATACCTGTTGAAAAGTAATGTAATAAAATCAGTCTCTTTGCATTCTGTTTCCATTATGTCATCTAGGTACATCTAAAGGATTTCACCAATATGTTCAAACTATCCCTCTTTTAACCTAAGATCTGAAGCTGCATGCATCTAAAGGATCTAGAAATAGGCACAAGAATGAGAGGTCTGTCAACATGTCAAATTAGGGACAAGATAAACTGTCACTACAGCTCCAAGACACCGCAGAAAGAGACTGATGGCAAATTGGGCAGACAGATAGCAGCTGCAGTTTAATATGGAAAAAAAATGTGAAGTCATATGTTTTGGGACACAACATCAAGAAAAAGTGTCTACCCTAACAGCAAGTGTGTTCCTTTCCAGCAATTCAACAGGAATGTTTACATGGGCAAAGCAGAGTGAAAAATAATGTGGGATGAGTCAAAAATCTGCAGAAGGATGCATCTGATGTTCCATTTACAATGGGCAAAAATGTCATACAGGCAACATTGTGACACCACTGATGAGTGGGTGCAGCAGGGTGACTGAGTGAATGGTGATGAGAGGATGGATCAATGGTTTTGGGTGAGTTGAGAACGGGTGGGTTCTTGATTCTTGTGTGGGAAATGGGCATCATTGATAAGAGTGGAGTTTGTTGCATATTTCTAGTTACCCTTGAAATGAATGACTCTCTAGGCCAATTCAGAGGAAAATTAAGAGTTAACTATATTTAATTGGGTTTGGACTCACATTCAGGTCAGACCAGGTAGGAACAAAGACTGACTTCACCAAAGGACATTAGTGAACTTGATGGGTTTTTACAACAATGATTACACAAATATCATTTGACCAGCTTTAGTCTTAGATTTACCTCTGCCATCTGCTGGGGGAGTATGTGAATCCATGTCTCCAGAACATTAGCCTTGGATTTGGATTACCAGTTACAATTACTAGAACCATTATCCAAGGTGATGAATGTGAGTGAATGAGCGAGTGTGAATGGGTGGGGCTGAGTGACAGGAGGAAAACCTGAGGCAGAAAAGCAACCCGCTTCTGATCTCCACTTTCACGTGAATTCTGCAGTGGCTGACTTAGAACGTGCCATGCCAAACACAAACCAAGGTCAGTGCTAGTTACACTCAGTCCTGGTTCCCAATCCCCTTCCCTGGTGATCAGGAATTGAAGTCCAGACTTTTTCACCCTTTCATCTGCTTTTCAACCAAAAAAGGCAAAGAAAAAAAATTGAGTTAGGTCTGCGGTTTGGCACTTTATTGCTTTGAATTTTTTTTCCTGAAATTGACCATTACAATTAAGGTAAGCCTCATCTGACTGAAATATGCTCACCAGTCCTACTGTGACCAAAACTGAAATGTGGTCCAAATGCCAAACAGTTTGACTAAACTGCTTTACATCCAAGAGGTAAAGAGGAAAAGTTATATGGGTGACACCCCACAGAATGATTCAAAAGTAGTAATACACAGATTGTTAGTAGAAATGAAAAATGTTGAACAGAATAATGAGATTGTCAGTTTGAAGTATGTCATGGGGTATTTAATGTAAAAGCTTGAAAATGATGTAGCATCAATTAGGTTACTTGGCACAGAGCTGTATGCATCTCATTGATAGAAGAACATTATACAAAGGGTAGGGAATGATGTTAGTTACGAGTGAAAACTGACATCTCCACTCACACCCTTCCTACAAACACGACTGGAGGGATCCATTATAGGTTTTCAAAATTAATTAAAGTTTTGAGACAATTAATACTAAAATATAACTTTTGCCACTTGTAGAATCGTTAATAAAAGCCATGAATGTTTTAGAAAATGAGACTGCTGAGGCAGGCATCACCACTCATAGCAGATTTGGATTGTAATTTAAAACTGAAGCAAATTTAAAAAAGGGACAGGAAAAATAAAGTGACATAACAAGCAGCAAGAGAATCAATGGGCTGACATACTGCTGTAATTGATCTGACTTTGTTTTAAACATCTTACATCACCAAAGATAATTGAAGTGGCAAAACCTTGCAACAGGCAAAATATATGAATCCAAACTGCAAATATTCTCTACAATCTTAAAACATAAAACAACATACTGCTCAACACAAATTAAATATCAGCACCCTCACTCATACATTGCACCAGAACACAGGATGAAAAATAGAAGGATACTTTAGATTTTTCCTATATACTTTATCATATAAGAAGTCTTGATCAAATTCACTTAAGTTTTAATTCTCCCCATTAATACAAGAGTGATGTCTCTTGTTCCTCTTCATGTGGCATTTTAAAACAAATTAATAAAGCCATTGGACAATTCAAGGGTCCACCTCCAACAGTAAAAGTTACCCTGGTTTGAGAATTTTTTAAAAATCTGAATCATTTGTTGAATGAACTGCTCACCCTGCTGTCACTTGATTGGAAAAAGACTAATAAAAAGAGGATCTGTGATACGACTTCACAAGTGTCTGACTACAGTGCTGGGTTTTTTTTATATAAAGAATAGTAATTCTCATTAAAATATTAATACATCATTTAAGAACATCCCTTTATGAGACGATTCTTCACCTCTAAAATGAAATCTGTAATCCACAATATCCAAAGGCCATTCCTGGAGTGAGGTGCTGAAGGTGGGTGGCTTGCCCCCAGATCTCTGCTCTCTGGACAATGAGGAAAAGCTTCACAGAATGATATAGTCAACAGGCATTTCTGTTTACCTCCCCCTTCTTTCTTCCTACTCCTACTTTTTTCCACCACTACAGTAGCAAGTTGATACAGGTGATATCTTGCCTTTGCTGATTTTCATGGAGAAAGCAGGATAATTAAAACTGGCATGTCTACTTGAGCTGGGAGTGGATGGCCAATAACCAATACAGAGTTCTGTTTTCAGAATCTATCCAGTGACTTTTGCTAGAATGCATACATGCATATATGTCAGGAGGAAAAAAAACAGAATTAAGCTTGGATAGGAGTTCCACATTTGAATAACAGAGAACATACACATTCAAAATTCAGATAGTTGTTCAACCAAGGAATTGTACTTCAGCATGTCTGAACAAGCGGCTATAGACTCCCCATCATGGTTCTGCGAGACATTCACAAAGGTACTGGTTAATTGCACAGTTATCAAAAACATAATTCATAAAGTAACCATCCTAGAGATGTCCCTGCTGGGCTCAGAAAATTGCTCATGTGCATTTTTAGCTACCATTCCTGAACCCAGTTGTATAAGTTATGCTAATTTCAGCTACCTAACAGTAATTAACAAAAGCTACTTAATAAACTATCTCAAGGCACTTCACAGGAACATTATATTTTAACATTATATTTTGACATCAATCCACACATGGAGACATTAGGGAAGATGATCGAAATCCTGTCAAAGAGGTAGTTTTAAGGAGTGTATTTAAAAACAAAAGTGACGCTTACAGAGGGAATTCCAAAGCCTGGGGCCCAGGCAGCTGAAGGCACAGTCGCCAGTGGTGCAGTAATTAACAGATTGCAATTGAGGAATACAGATACCTCTGAAGATTGTAAGCTGCAGAAGGCTATAGTGATAAGGAGAGGCAAAATCACAGACAACTTCAGACACAAATGAAAATTTTAAAATAAAGGCATTGCTTAAATGAAACCCAGCGTAGAAAAGAACCTTGCACAAGGACAAGGTCAAGTGAGTTTTGGATGACCTCAAGTTTACTAATGGTCGAACATAGGTAGCCTGCCAGCAGTATATTAAAATAGTCAATCTTAGCTAGAAGTAATAAAGGCAAGGAATTTGAAGGACCTTGCTGTCTAGGACTTATCACTGCAACAGCTGAACTAGGTGCCTGCAGTCATGCAATGTTTCACACATGGAAAAGATGGTCTATGTGATGGCATGAATGTATAGTTGGAAGGTCAACCCCAGATCAAGTTTATGACAGCCGGTTCAGCCTCAGACAGCTGCCAGCTGGAATCAGTGTCTAGGAAACGAGAGTTTGTGAAAGGGAGTGAAAACAATGGCTTATGTTTTGCAATAACTAGTTAGAGGAAATTTCTGCCCATTGGGCTCTGGTTGCCTGACAAGTAGTTCAATTAACACATAGTGGAAGGGGAGGTCAAGAGCAGTAGAGGTGAGTGTTACCATGGGAAACACAATCTTGTATTTTCAGACATAATGATCTGAATGTGAGGAAAAACAATGATATTACAGGTGATTCTCAGTCTCCTACTTATTAACCAAGTCTGAAACCTACAACCTGGAAGTCTGAAACCTGGGAGTCTAGTCCCACCCAGCTCAATAACAATTAAGAGCTCCTTGAGAAACGTCACAGATGGTCAAAAAGAAACAGTTTACTTTTCTCAGTCACTCAGAAGGTTATGCATCACTTCCATAAGAACTATTTTGATACTATGGTAGCAGTGGAAACTCGATGGGAGGGATTCAAACACAGAGGTAGAGCCTATAAACAGGAGGTGGTCCAAAAGGGCATGAAGGTAGAGAGGACAGAGACTGGGGAGGTACAAAGCCAAGGTACAATTTTACAGAAAATTCAGCTTCTTGGACCAGAGAAGACATGCAACTGGCAGATGCAACTATGAGATTGTCTCAATGAGCTGATTTGCGTTTTGGTCTTCCTTTACCTGAAAACCATTTCAAAGTGTAATACATTTTAAGCAACATTACTACCCTGTCACTGTCATTCATTCGAAGAAAATCTAACTAGTGCTACATATAGTATATGGTAAAACAGTGTTATTTGAAGGACCTTGCTGTCTAGGACTTATCACTGAACTGTGCTGCTGGCTTCAGAAAACAGGTATTTTACTTTAATAGAATATTTGAAAGGATTGCTGTCAAGATAGCAACACATCACAATTTGGTGAAGTTGGAAGACAATTCTAGGTTCACCATCATTCCTTGTGGTGTTATGGACATTGCTTTGAAAATAATCCAAAATATAAATTTTCCTATATAGACCCCATGCATGCAAATGATTGTTACTGTACATCCAGAAAGTTTATAAAACAATTAACTCTATTTTACTAAAGAAAAAATTTATTCTCAACAATAATTTAATCTGTTTAGAGTTGTAACTTGAAAGAAAATGAACAGGTATAAATTCTAGATTTAAAAAGAAGTGAATTTATCATTGATTTTGCTTCACCAGAATTTTTTCCTAAGGTGGTCTACAAGATCATTAGCTTATACTTACTAGTTAGAAACATGACTATATTAATCTGGAGATGGCACCATCTACATTCCTCCTTTCAAACAACTAATGGCTGTTTGCAAATCTGGTATTCTTTTCTTTCCCCAATAAAAGTTTCAGGTTTAGCTACAAAATGTTAATACAAATGTAACTCAACAAAATGGTAACAGGTAATTTTATAATGCAATTTCTAAACCTATAGAATGTGCAAGAACAAATGTACACTAATTATAAAAGTTAGTAAAAACTACAAAATCAACTTGGAGGTCACAACCTGCATGATGCCACAGTTGACAAAAAAGTTGTAAATGTAACAATAAATTGCTTTCAGTAGCCTAGGTCACTAAATCATTACCGAATAATCCTACTTGTTTCTTTTAATACAATGTTAGCTTTCTTCTTAAAAACATTTAGTGTTTAGTTGATTACTCCATTCAAATCCCCTTGCTTTGATCTTGAAAGATGTGTAGGCTTGTAGATCTGTATAATTAGTCCCTAGTACAAAAGAATGACTGCACCTTCTTCATGGAGCTGCAGCAATCTCTTCATTAAGTTCTAAGTAGATAAAGGAAGCTGGGACTGCAGCCAACATGGACATCTGTGAACTATCTTCTCTGATTAAAATCATGTTGTTTTAAGGCCCATCGCTAAAAAGAAGAAAATAAACATTAGGCATTTTCTTAACATATGCCTAGGAATTAATTAAAACTTAACCTAAGTTAGACCAAGGTATTCTTAATTCCTAGATATGGCAAGGGCACAGAAACACTGATGTTTTAGATGCTGCAGTTATTCTACCAAACTTGGCATTATCCTCATGGAACTCTAATGCATGACACAAAGTGGCATAAAAAGGATTCATCTAGTACTATATTTCAAATTAAACACCAGGAGAAAAAGTAAAAAGTTTAGTATTTCAATGCACAAGTAAAGATTCATACTTGCAAAATTTTCTGCATCGAAAGTGAAGCTATTCAACAAGCACATTTCGAAGTCAGAAGGTAATCAGAGAATTTTCAGATCTAGAATGACTTACATGAACCAAATCACCTCCCTCAAACTTTATTGGCTTAAATCATCTGAAGTTGATTAGACAACAAACTACCCATTTAGCTTCAGAGATAGTAGGAACTGCAGATGCTGGGTCTAGGCCTGAAACGTCAGCCTTCCTGCTCGTATGATGCTGCTTGGCATGCTGTGTTCATCCAGCTCTACACCTTGTCACCCATTTAGCTTCATCTGATTATTCCGCTCAGCCTTCCAGAATTCCAATCTGCTGAAATCAGCGCAGGAAACTGAGAGATATCAATTAAGACAATCCATGCAGAAGCCATGTCCAACTTTTAAAGGCAGTAGGTGCGAAAATCTGGCAAGAAAGGTTTTAAATGTTCCAAGTACGGTGAAGTTTTTTTTTGAGGGGCCGGGGGGGCAGAGCGGGAAGAAGAAGAAAGGTACCAAAACAGTTTGAACATGAAATAATCATGGATAGAGACAAAACCAGCACATTAAACATACTGTAACAGAAATATTATATGTTTGATTGGATTTTTACTTTACTGCATGAAATAAGCAATTAAAATGTTCCAGGCTGTAAAATAACTATCCAATGGACGATTGCAAATGGTTAATATAACCTAAGGAAGTGAGAAACAGACATCATAATGTAAATTATTAGTCAAAACAGCTTCTACAATAGGCCACCCATCCACAAAACAGCATCAGAATAAACATTTAGCAGGCAGTCTAAAAAGAAATGCATATGATCTACAAGCAATTCGCTGCAAGAATCCCTGTTCAGGCTGTTTCACTATAAAGTCCGTTATGTTTTTGCCCCTTCTTGGCTATTCGTCCTTAGATCAGATTTCTCCTTTCTCATTACCAGCTTTAATAGACCTTGCAGAACCTATTCTATATCTATATTATCTGACCTGTACACTTAAGTAATTAAAACTAAAATATGAAAATTAAATAGCACAATTAATAGTGCAATATATAAAGCTGTCAGCTTTAATAGTCAACTGGTCTTATCAGACTTGGCCACTCAGTGAGAATATGCATTCCTGGTCATTTTAACCATCACTGCATATCATAATAGGCAACTGTCAGATGTTACCAGCATCAGAGCTCATTTAAAATTGTTCATGAGCTGGACTGCTTAAGGTCACTTTCAATATTTCCTTATAAACCACATTTAATGGTGCCTGTAGGTGGTAAGGGAAGAAAGAAATGAGAAGGCTGGGGTTGAAATAAATTCACAGAGACCAATATCCCGTCACCAAGTCACCCTTTATTTACACTTGTCACTGATTTGGCTTCTGCAGAGCCATCTCTCAGTGAACAGAACCTCTGATATTCCTGTTTCTATCTGTCAGCCAGGACTCCCTGATTGGGCCAGATTAACAGCCCCAGTCGGAGAACTCATTCTGTTCGGTCCACCTGGCCGACCACATTACAATCACTACAGGTGGAAGAGAGAATTTCTACAGTACAAGACTCTTCTCTTTTTTAATCCCCTACCCCATCCCCTATAAGCTATCTGGATCAGTAGAATTTAGTAGATTCTTTTTTCCCCGAGGTCTTCAAGCGCACTGATTAAACAGCTAATTATGTTCCAAGTTAGAGACACTTAATATTGAGGGAGTCTGCAAAGAACATTCAACTTCAATTAAGCACACCATAGTCGGGAGCAAATGGCGGTATTTGTATAGCCATAGGGAAATTAGACCACAATTTGTCTGTCTACCTATATAAGTACTGAAGTACGTCAGGATTGTCTAACTGCCTGATTCTAATTCAGAGCTAGAGACTTCTGTGGACGTTCCAGGGAACAGGGGAATTGCTAATGGAGGCGCAAACGTCCTGGACAATTCTCACAATGTCAGTGCATCAGAACGGTCATGAGGTCCTAATATGCACTTCATATATAGGCAAGTTAAATAACTTCATGTTGCAACAATTTTCTACAAAGGACTGTTATCAAATCCTATAATCTAACATAAATTTTATCCATTAAATTATTATTACATCAGGCATATCTGTTTCCTCATTATGCACCAATGGTTATAATTCTTTCAACAACTTCAGTCTTTGAGAAAATATTTCACTCCAATAATAGAAATCTGAGGGTGCCATAAACAGTAATTAATACAAATGCGCAACTTATTTCCAACTCTGATGCTGTTTTAGATACACTTCACTGAGTTTCCTATAAGAATGCAAAGCTTATTCATTTCAAAATTCACATTGTTCGCAGATTAATACTCATACACAATAATATCAAGCGTGCAGTGAGTGACTTGTAAAATAGTTCCACAACCAAATTATGAGAATTGATTTTTCCCTCAGGCCACACTGTTGTAGTGATACAGTTATGAACTCTCTGATTAAGGAGTGCAGTTTGCATCTTTTGCAATATGCTAAATTGCTTCTGATGAAAACAAAACATGGCTTAGAACTTTGTAAATTTCTAACTTTTCGTTACTGAATCATTTCACAGAAAGGTATGGAATCATATCAACATTACATAAGAGTATGAACAACATGCTTTTCAACCATCCCTAAGAGGAGCTCTGTAGAAAGAAACATAGATAATTAACAGCTCCAGCACAGTTGACAATCCTGTGGAAATTAAACAAATTTGGACAGCAACTACCTTAATTAATTGGATATGTTTACCTGTTGCCTAGATTGCTTACGATCTCTTGCACCTTTCTCACAAGTTTCTCATTCTGTTGAGGGTCTTCGTCTATTATACTGTGAAGTTTAGTCATAAAGGAATCAACTGTCTCTAATGTCACGCTTTCTCCACTTCCTAAGGATTGAGGAAAGACACAAAAACAAGTCATGTTGGACTGCTGAAGCTGAAAAACAATAAATAAATGTCAATAATGACTCTTGAAGAATGGCACATAGGTATTTATCTACTATACTTACCTTAAGAACTATGAGAAGGATATTTCCCTTGAACATTCTAAGTATTTCTCAAATGTAAAAACTGAAATGCTGGAAATACTCAGTAATCTGCTAGCATCTCTTTGGGCTTGTACCATCAATTTCATAATTTAATCGCTCCTGCATCCCACCCTGTTAAAGATATTTCTTCTTGTTCGTTCCTCCACCCTCTCAACTTGCTTAAAATCTATTTTATCACTATTCTTCCCAGCTCTGATGAAAGATCTTTAATCCAAAACAATCACTGTTTCTCTCCCCACATATGCTACTACCGAACCTACTGTGCATGTCTTGTTTAAAGCTGTGATAAACAAACATTGCATTTTGCTTTTGTTATTTCACAGACTCTTCTTGTGGCATGTCTAGTGTTTAAATAATTCTTATTATTAACATGCTTGTGTTAATTAATTTGATATCCCTTAATAAAGAAGAAATTTCAGTCAGATTTCAGTAGGATATTGCAAATCTTCAGGGTTAGGATAGGCACATCAAGAGATATCTTTCAACCTTTTACAATGGGAAGATATGTTCAATTACCAAAAATAGTTTTAAATTCCCTTTTGTCCTCAGTCAAGGCTTGCAAGGCAAGCAAAGATGGACAATTTGACAGCTGCCTTATGCAGATGTACATCTGCCAGTCTTTGACTATCTCCGGCATCATTCTGCAGTATTCCCAGGTAAAGCAGGATCATCACAGAACGTCAGTTATGGACACACGTTTCTGGTCCTACTTACACAGTTAAATCACCTTTAGACTAGATTCAACTACCAAAAGAAATAGGTTCATTGCATCCACTCGATCAAATAATTTGAAAGGTCTAAATTACGTATCATCCTTCTAATCATAAGAGAACACAGTAGGCAACAGGTTTATAAAGAATGTCCTCTTGTTATACACTTTAAGCCCTGGGGTCTTCGTGGTGACTCTGCACTCTATCGTCTTCAGAGACAATTGCTTTCCTGATGTTCACAGCCCAAAATTAAACATTGTTCTGACCTCTGAACAATGCTCTAAAACACTAAAGCCTCAATTCCTCATTTCTGTATTCTAAATCCTTTACAGTCAAGATCTTTTCTATTACCTTTTTGTAGTTCTGCTGTCAGTGTGCGATTTGCGTACATGGATATCCAATTGCTTTGCCCTCATTTGTTTGCCATTAAACACAAATTCATTTTATCTCTCTCGCATCCAGAGAGGACAACCTCATTTTCACATATTGATCAAAAGATGTAACAAATTAATCCTAGCCAATCTATAATCTGTTGTAATTCCATACTTCCATCTATGAGACTTGTGTCGTTTCACAGTGTCAACTGTAAAATTGGATCTAAAACTTCCCACTGCATTATCCAAAACAGCGATGTATATGATGAAACATAGTTCCAACAGCAGATCACTGGGGAATACAATCTGACACTTCCTCTTAATCAGAACATTGCTGACATTATCTGGGGTCAATATTGCTTGCCACTCATCAGCCCAAACCCCTACTTTGGCAGGTCCTGTTACATGCATATATGGTAATGGTAATGAAATTCACTGAGAATAATCAGCCTGAAGATTTGTGGGCCTGGGATAATACCCTAAGAAACTTTGATGTCCTGGGATTGAGATGATTGCTAGGCTTAACTCCGACCTATGGCAAGTTGCTCCAATTCCCACTAACTTGAATTTTGCCAGGGCGCTTTGAAATCATACTTGTCACATGCTATTCTGGTTATCTTATCCATGTTTGGATCAAGGCTGTAATGAAGGCAGAAACTGAGTGAGTCTACAGAACTCAAAACTAAAAATTAGTGAGCAAGTTACTGCTGCACTCCCTTGCCTTTGCGTCGTTTTTCATGAAGTTATTCCCTTTTCCTTTGGGATTTCTAATGTCACCTCCTAGAGTCTTCAGTTGCTCCTCCTCATAGTATCACAGAATTGTTACAGTTCAGAAGGAGGCCATTTGGCTCATCATGCCTGCATGAGTTGTATTACCTGGTACCAATCTCCTGCGCTTTCCCCATATCCCTGCAAACCATTTCTATCAAATAATCATCCTGTTAAATGCCTCAACTGAACTTATTTTCACCACATTTTGAGGCAGGGCATTCCATACTTTTAACCACCTGCTGTATGAAAAGACATTTTTTTCTCTCATCACCCTTTCTTTGTTTGCACACAATTTTAATGCCTTCTCATTCTTTTTTCTAAACTGAGCAGGAACGGCATATCCCTATTTACTCTACCTAGCCTGCTCATGATTTTTGAAAACATCTACCAAATTTCTTCTCAGCCTTCTTTTCTCTAAGGAGAACAGACTCAACTTCTTAAATCTATCCTCATAAGTGAATTTTCTCATTTCTGGAACCACTCTTGTACATTCTGCAATCTCACCAATGCATTCACATCCATGCTATCATGTGGCTTCCACAACTATACACAATACGCTAACTGAAACCTAACAAGTGTCTTGTACAAGTTCAACATCACCTCTTTCCTTTTGTACTTTATGCCCCTTCTAAGAATGCCAACAACACCATGCGCTTTATTAACTGCCTTTGCCACCTGATCTGTCACTTTCAATGATCTGTGTATATGTACATCCAAGTCCCTCTGTTGCTGCACCTTTTTAAAATTGTACCCTTATTTTATATTATCTTTCAATGTTCTTCCTACCAAAGTGTATCACCTTATTTCTGTCTGCATTGAACTGCATCTGCCACCTGTAGCCCCACTCCATCACCATGTCAAAATCCATTTGGAATTCCACACTGTCCACCTCACAGTTTACGATTCTTTTCTGCTCCATATATTCTGCAAAGTTCAAAATTGTCCCTATACATCCAGATCCAAATCACTAAAATATATCAGGGAACGCAAAGGTCTAAGCACAGGCCACTAGAGAACTCCACTACAAACCATCCTCAACTGTGAAAAATTTCCGTTAATTATTACGCTGTTTCCTATCACAGCCAATTGTGCATCTACATTATTACTGTATCTTTTATACCATAATCTGTAACTTTCCTCAAATCTTTAAGGCTGACAGCCTCCCTGTCTCAGGTTTCTGTATTTTCCGTCACTGGTTATTTTCTCTTTCCTTGACCATACTCCTGCCCCAGCACTGTCAGCTTCTGAATTAAGTTAGATGTTGAGTGCTGAACTTGTCTTTTTGCTGCTTGCATGGCTGCTGTCACTCTCCATTGGCGTTCATATTTCAGCTGCAGATTGATATCCTGGGTCTTCATAATGCAAAATGCTCTTAACGTGGTAAGTTCACTCGCTTGAATTTTGTTTTTTTTCTCTTGGTCTTCTGAGTTTCTTCTCATGGAAAGGGTCAGATCCATACCACTACAACCATGTATTCTTTGCCCAGGTGCCAACTCTAGTACCTTGTCGTATTTGCCATTTCTACCAGTTTGCAGTACTGGGCAAGGTTTGTTTGAGGCTGTTCGTTGCCCCAAACTTCCTTTGTCTTTGCTGTGTATTAGGTCTGCATAGTAATTAAAAGGTAGAGGAATAATATAGATTATCCACAGAAAAGGCTCTGTTCTTAGATAACAAGTTTGTTGCATACTAGCAACAAGTACAACATTTGGTCAAGCATAATTATCAGGACCTTAGGGAGCTAGAATAGATATGTCTACTCCCTTAGGAAGCTAGAGTAGAATTCCTCATCTCCACTCTTAGGTAGCATCAGTAGATTGTGTGGAACCAACATAACATGAACTTTAAGCCCTTCATAGACTGTTATATAAAGTAACAGCTATGAGGCAGAAGGCTGAAAATTCAAATTCCACTCCAAGACATGAGCAAAAAAAAAAAAAAAAAATTCTAACAACCCTATGCAGTACTGAAGGAGAGCACTGGAGAGCAATTGTTGTCTTTCAGATAAGATGTGTTCTCAGGAATGCAAAAGTTTCCAAAGCTTTTGAAGAGGAGTTATCCCGGACATTCCGGCCAATAGCAGTCATCCCTCAGTCAAAATCACAAATACAGACTGTCTGGTCTTTATCATATTGCTGTGAACAAATTGGCAGCCATGTGACAATGCTTTAAAATACTTCACTGAAGTCACATAATGAGTTGCACAAATACTATATTTTTTCCTGTTTAGAGCATATGCCAATTTATTAGTCTCTAAATTTTGTTTTATAAACTTTTGCAGTAACATCTAATAGCCTTGGAAGTTCTTTTGATAATCTATTTTAGCACTCCATGCTACTTACTTTGTAATCTACTGTTGCTTTTATAACCTCCCAATTTACTGAAGTTCCACCTTGTCTTTATGCAAGGCTTCTCTTTTAGGTTCATACTGTAGCCTCAGTTTCCTTACAACGGAGACATCAAACCTTTTCTACTGGCTATATCTATGGCACCATTAATCATGTACTGCAAAAGTTTGTTACTTCTCTGGTTGGAATACATTGCAGCAAATATAGCAACAAACTTTAAGCAAGCAACATGCCAATTCCACATTTAATGTGATATCTTATCTTTGAATTCTAGCACATAGGTCAGCAGGTAATAAATATGGCTAATAGAAAGTTGGTCCTTATTTCATGGAGGTTGAAGTATAACAAGGTAGGGAAATCTTACTGTAGCTGTACAAGACCGAGATAAGGAGCAATTTCGTCTCTCATAGGATTGAAAGCCACTGGAACACCGTGCCACAGAAGAGCTTTGGGCAAGTTCTCATGCACATTTAATGCTGAGATACATAGATTCTTGATTAGTCAGGGAATCAAGGCTTATGAGGAAACGGCAGGAAAGTGGATATGAGGTGTTTTGGATCATCCATGATCATACTGAATGGCAGAGCAGGCTCACAGGGCCAAACACCCTACTCCTGTTCATATTTATTATTGTCTTTTGGTCTAATCTAACAGGACTACTACAAAAGTGGTCTTCTGGTCAAACTACAATACAAAACACGACTAACGTGAATAAAGTAAGACAACTTGTTTATTAAGGTGTGCTTTTTAAAAGAAAGATTATGAGCAAACCAGACAGCCGACAAAAAGAACAAAGAAATCAAAAACACTGTCATCATTATTACTTGTACTACTATCAGGTTACAAGCTTATCTGAAATGGACTGACAAACTGGACATGTTATTTACATCCAAAATAGAAGCTAAATTCATGGCAAACGAACAGCCATTGGAGGAAAAGATTATCTGTGGGGAACTCTGCACGTAGAAGGTTAATTAAGAGCCAAATTTCAGGGTTTTGATGAACACCAGAAAGATATTAAAAGGAAGAGCAAACAGTCTTTTGACAGTTGCTTGCCGAACAAGTATTTTTCACGGAAAAGCTCATTTACCCTGATCAAAAGACAAGTAATTGCTGCTAATTTCATTCCTTCAGCAGCAGTAATTAGAAACGAAACACTTTAGTGCTATTAACAATATTTGAAAATCAAACAATTACATTCTATTGCCAAATTATTTTTTGTCTTCATTTAGAAATTAAATATATGGTTCAATCTTCATGAAAAAATAGCTTTCCACTTTGATAAATACTTAAAATAATTATTTTCTTGTGCAGAATTTTAATGTCTGGTTGTCCCATCAGTACATTGTGTCATATCATAAACTGTCTATGAATGACTAAAGGGCAGAATTTCACGTAACTGATTGCATAAAAATGATGGGACTGTGATGGGAATTTTTCTTCGGTTTGGGAAACCTGGATTGCAAAAATGATGAGCTGATTTCCAACACCACACCTCTGTACTGATTAGAAAAAAAGATTAAAATTGCTTAAAGCAATTTGTTGTTGTATGCTAATCTGGCAAATTGGCATTAATGTGCAAGTGGCTTGTACTGTGGTCTGCAAAGACTCTCAATGTCTAGAGAATAAAACTTCACATTTCTTCAAGTACAGCTCAATAAACCAAGTCACTGCTGAGTCTCTAGTGTCACGACTTTTAAATTCAAGCATGAGTGGCACAAAAACTAACAAATGCCAGAAAATATTTAATGGCATTGATTTCATGGCTGGTACTGTAGTACTAACATCTTTTTTCATGAATGGTGATGATACCTGGCTCTACTTTACCATTTCATCCCTGACTATGTCGTGTTATATTCCTTTCCCGATGTCCAGTCTCAGTTGAAGCAAAATTTCATCCAATTAAAGTTTGGGAAGATCACAGCCATTGTCTTCAGGCCCAAACTGCTAACTCCACTTCATAGCCACAACTCCATGTATTTCCCTGGTCACTGTCTGAGGTGCAATCAAATTGTTGCAAGCTATTTGACATGAAAATCAGAGCTATATTATGTCTAGAACAGAACCTCATATCCTCTCACAAAGACCACCTAATCATGCCTCTGTAATGGTGCATGTCTCTTCTTTAAGCTTCAGCTCATCTGTGCTTTGGTTCGTATAGAATAGGACTAGGAGTGTACCTGTTGAGCAAAGATCCTGGTTGATCAAGAGGTCCACATAATGTAAAAACACACATTAAGTTATAGAAACATAATGCAAGGGTATAAATATCTCTGCTATAGTTTATTTACATCATTAGTCACTTAAATAGTAATGCAACTTTGCCTTAAATAAAACTTACCAGCAGAGAGCCCTTTCACTCGCACTGTCAACTGACTGCCCGAGAGATTGCGGGGATTGCGATAATACAGTAAACTTCAGGTATTTGAGGTATATAAGTTTTGTCAGTTCATTGAGAATGAAGGTTTTGGTTAAAACAAAGTTGACTGTATTCCAATATTCAAATGCTCTCCTGGAAAGCCTCAACTCTTTGATTTTCTAAAAATTTTAGCTCATCCAACAATCTGCTGTCCATGTTCTAATTCACACTAGGCCCTGATCATCAATCATCCGTATACTCACTAACCTACACTAATTCCATGTCCATCATGATCATTTATTTTAAAATATTCATCCCCATTCAAATCCTTTCTTGGCCTTACCTCTCCCTATCTCTGGAAGGGTGTTTGGTTTACTGGAGGTTTGCAAAAACTGAGCTCCTCAGCTGCACCTTCAGCCATCTTGGTCCGATAGCCTGGAAATCTCTCCCTAAAATGTTTTCCTTCCTAAAACCTTCAAACTCTGCTCCTTTAAGAGCCTAAGGAAAAAAAATATTATTTTTCATCAAACTGTCCCCCTCCTGGCCTCAAGTGAGTTTTTGTCTCGTTCTGCCTCTTTGAAGCACTTATGAAGGCTTTATGATGTGATTATTAGATGTGCTCGATAAATGCAAATTTTTATTGCATTGCAAGATACTCTTATCATCTGATTTGGGCAATAGTTAATACCAGCTGAACGTGGACTACAGCAAGTAACTTACTTCATAATTGTCTTTATCTCTGATAAACTCAAGGGCCCACAAAAATTTCGGACATGCTCTTATCTGGTCTATTGACAATGGTTGCTTAACTATACAAGTGCAATTATGTCTTAAGTTTACATAGCACTAAATACACTCATGAATATTTGCTACCATTATTCCATAAGCTTATCTATTCACAGTTCATCATGGCCAATTAATTTCCAATCCTTCTGATATTTGATTGACTAAAGTTAAAACCTTGGTATAGGAAAATTTACATCAAGAGCTGAGACGAGCAGGAAAAAGGTGAGGTAACTTGTAGGTTACTATCATCCAGCATCACAAACTGAATACTGCTTATAATGGAGTTTTTACAGCAAAGAATTAATATTTCAGCATCGTACTTGTATTCTGTTCTCTTAAAATATCAAACTACCCATCCATCATACATAAATTAAGATTTAAATTTGTGTAGGCTTTAAAAAAGACTCTCTCAGATAAATGTATTGACTTTATCCTCTTTTAGCAACTTTGAAGTTGTAGGCAACAACTTTGACCCTTGATAATTAAAAAAATAACTCTATGATAGCGTCCTTGAATCAAACATCCATTTGCCTGGCTGCACAAAAAAAAGCCTTTGCAGCTAATGAGGTCCCCAAAACTCTAGTTGTATGATATCTCTTTTTGAAACACGTTGCAAAAGTGTGATGGTTTGGATGGATTAATTGACTGTATCAGTATAGTTGACTTTCTAACCTGGTAGAGAGACATTACTGAAGCTAGTGGTTAACATTTGTCGCAAATTCTCGAGATGTTTGTGTAGAGTTACATTCTGGTTCTGTTCTTCAGCCAGCTCCTCTTCCAGTTTCTCTTTAGCACTTCTCATGTTGTCAATGTGTTTCTGCAAGACTGCATTCTGCTCCTCATATTCAATATTAGTTTTGCGTAATTTTCTCAACTCTGCTTCTCGAGCTGCAAAACAAAATAATTCAGCAAATTCCCAGTGTATTTCATACGATCTTCATAGCATGATTTCCTTCAAGAAGGCCAAATGTAAAATGATACAACAAACACGTCCACAAAAACGTCCATTCATCCCACACGTAAACCTGATTCTTTGTGGTTCATCACATTATTGTCCTTAACCAGCCCTCACAATCTCAACCTGACCTCCCAGTCTTTGGCTTCCCAAATTACCTCATTTGTTACAACGCAAGCTTACAGAATTTTGTAATGATTAATCCTGCATGGGCCCCAGTTAAACCTGCCTCTTGTGGGGTTCGTGGAACATTCTTTGCTCCAGTCCTACTCGGCCTCTCCCCACAACTCTTTCTTTTTCTGCTACATCAATGACATCGGGTACCCACAGTCACAAACAAAAAGTGAGAGGAGTGAAAGGAGAAGTTGTTCAAATTGAGGACAAGTTCAGTCAGGCAGAGAAAGGTGGTGGTGGTGGATGGGAATGGTTCAGGTCTTCTTCCCAAAAATAAGTGGAAAGCCCCAAGACCATCCTGTTGGGGGATGGATGTGTAAACAGATTTAACCAAATATACAGAGGAGACGGTTACTGCTGGCAAACTGGAAAGTCTGAAACCAACGGAAAGCATCAGAAGAATCGCAGACATAAGTGGGGAGGGATGAACAAGGGGAAACTGCCTGCTGCAGTGTTCCAGTTAGCCTCACGGTAAGCTCAAAGAACAGTATCCTGTTTTCTGCTTGAGGACCTTACAGCCTCTAGGACTCAAAACTGAGTTCAATAACTTTAGAGCCTGATACTGTCCTTCCAAGTGCTTTTGCCCACCCCCACTTATTCTAGCATGACATGGGTTGCTTCCAGCACAACCAACCCTGGCGACATCCTTTCCACCCACTCTGAGGCTATTATCACACTACATGGATTGCTTGAAGTAAAAACTACCCATTCTCTCCTACTCTCAGTTTCACTTATTCAGTTTCTCTTCTCTTCTGTCCTGGCCAATCAACAATCACCTGCCTACCACTTTCATATCTCAGTCTCTCTGGGCTCCGTCTTCACCTATCCACTCACCTCTCATTCCATTCTCCTCTACTTCATCTTCTGTATAAATAGCACATTTTCCTAGCTGCAATCAGTTCTGATGAAGAGTCACCAGACACGAAATGTTATCTCTGCTTTCTCCCCTCAGATGCTTTGCTTTGTTTTGTTTCAGATCTCCAGCATCCCCAGTTCTTTGTTTTCTTCAAAAAAGGTTCTGTTCCCCACTTTAATATAAAACATTTGACATTATTTAAGATGGACAGGAGGTCTTACATCCTTAGGAACACGACAAGGTAGATGCAGAGCGGTTGCTTCTCCTTGTGGGACAGCCAGAGGGCATAATCTCAGAGAAAGGAGTCACCTATACAAGACAAAGATGAGGAAGATGTTTTCTCTCAGCGGGTGGTGAATCTGTGGAAATCTTTATGAAAGAGAGCTTTTGAGGCTGAATCATTAGATACATTCAAGGCTGGGGACAGATTTTTAATCCGCAGAGGAATCAAAGGTTATGCAGATAAATCAGGAAAGCGGAGTTGAGGATTATCAGATCAGCCATGATCTTACTGAATGACGGAGTGGACTCACAGAATTGAATGGCCTACTTCTGCACCCAAGTCTTGTAAATGTGCATCGACTGCTTCTTTGTTTTGCATCCTTCTTCTTACTGACAATGGCTCTTTTTATAAATGACAAGTCTGAGCACAATGGTAGTGTTCAGTTACGTTAACTTTCCAAAATCATCTGTCCCATCTGTCTTTGAATATCAATATCTTTGAATTAAATTGCATGGAGCACACTATTAATCACATAATTTCTTAAAAATATTCAAATTATCGTAATCATAAGTCTGTTTTACACAGATGCACCATCAACAGCTGAAGACACACTTAGAGTGACCTCAAAATGACTTGTAAATACACTACTAGAACAACCTGCGCTTTGGTCAACATTGTCCATGTCAGATTTTAATTTATAACAGACCCACTTTAACATGCTATGGAAGAAGAACTTCTAACAAACTAAGGTCTCAAGACACCTTATGCTTTAAGGATTCCTTCACCATTAAGGTTATCTAATTAACGTACCATTTATCGTACAATTTTATGCAATTCCCAAGAACATTACTCAATAAAAAACAACCTGCCATTTTATAGTATCTTCATAGTACTAAATCGTTATTTCTTCAAAAATACGCTATACTTGATGAAGGATCGATGAAGACAGAGTGGTGGACACGATCTATATGGACTTTAGTAAGGCGTTTAACAAGGTTTCACATGGTAGACTGGTCAGCAAGGTTAGATCACATGGAATACAGGGAGAAGTAGCCATTTGGATACAGAACTGGCTCGAAGGTAGCAGACAGAGGGTGATGGTGGAGGGTTGCTTTTCAGACTGGAGACCTGTGACCAGCAGTGCGCTGCAACAATCGGTGCTGGATCTTTTTATCATTTATATAGATGATTTGGATGTGAGCATTGGAGGTACAATCAGTAAGTCTGCAGATGACACCAAAATTGGAGGTGTAGTGGACAGCAAAGAAGGTTCCGTCAGGGTACAATGGGATCTTGATCAGATGGGCAGGTGGGCTTAGGAGTGGCAGATGGAGTTTAATTTACTCAAGTGTGAGGTGCTGCATTTTGGAAAGGCAAATCAGGACTGGACTTATACATTTAATGGTAAGGTCCTGGGGAGTGTTGCTGAACAAAGAGACCTCGGAGTCCAGGTTCATAGTTCCTTGAAAGTGGAGTTGCAGGTAGACAAGATGGTGAAAAAGGCATTTGGTATGCTAGCCTTTATTGGTCAGAGCATTGAATTTAGGAGTTGGGAAGTCATGTTGCAGCTGTACAGAACATTGGTTAGGGCACTTTTAGAATACTGCATTCAATTCTAGTGTCCCTGCTAGGAAGGGTGTTGTGATACTTGAGAGGGTTCAGAAAAGATTTAGAAGGATGTTGCCAGGGTTGGAGAGTTTGTGCTATAGAGAGAGGCTGAATAGGCTGTGGCTATTTTCCCTGGAGTATTGGAGGCTGAAGGGTGATCTTACAGAGGTTTTCAAAATCATGAGGGGCATAGTTAGGATGAATAGACAAGGTCTTTTCCCCGGGGTAGTGTGGTCCAAAACTAGAGGGCATAGCAACCCAACAAAAATTGGCAAATTGAACAACCATCACTGTCAGTTTTCTACTATCTAAAGCAGTTGAAAAAATATTTAATTTAAAAATGTAATATTTGATTTGACATTTCACAGAATCAAAGAAGTATTACAACACAGACAGAGGCCATTTGACGATTCACGCCTGCACTGACTCATGGGGTGGCACGATGGCTCAGTGGTTAGCACTGCTGCCTCACAGCACCAGGGTTCGATTCCACCCTCGGGCGACTGTCTGTGTGGAGTTTGCACGTTCTTCCAGTGTCTATGTGCGTTTCCTCCGGGTGCTCTGGTTTCCTCCCACAGTCCAAATATGTGCAGGTTAGGTGGATTGGCCATGCTAAATTGCCCAGTGTTCAGGGATGTGTAGATTAGGTGAGTTATAGGGGGATGGGTCTGGGATGCTCTGAGGTTCGGTGTGGACTCAATGGGCCGAAGGGCCTGTTTCCACACCGTAGGGATTGGATTCTATGATTAAGTGAGCATCATTGCCACATGCAAATTTCCTACTATTCCAAAGACACCTGCACACTACTTTAATCCAAATAATCTTCAATACCCTCTTAAATGTCTCAATTGAACCTGCCTCCACCACATTTCCATGCAGGGCATTCCGTAACCTAACTAGTCACTGACTGAAAATTTTTTTACTGACTCTGCCCTTGCTTCTTTTGCAGATCACTTTAAATCTATGCCCTCTTGTTTCTTTATGAGTGGGAACAGTACCTCCCTATCAACTCTCTACAACCCACTCATGATTCTGAAAACCTCTATCAATTCTCCTTTTAGCCTATTTCTCTCCAAGAACAATCTTAACATTCGCAACCTCTCCTCATGATTGAAGGTCCTCATCTCTGAAACTATTCTCGTAAACCACTTCTGCACTGTATTCACATCCTTCCTATAATGCATCACCCCTAACCGTACACAATACTCCAGGTGAGGTCTAACAAGTGTCCTGTAAAAGTTTACCATCATCTCCTTGCTCTTGTACTCTACGCTCCTATTAAAGCAGAGAATACTGCATGCTTTACTTACTGCTCTCTCTACCTGCTCTGCCACTTTCAATGATATGAGCACGTACACACCAAGATCCCTGTGCTGCTGCACCCCTCTTAGAATTATACCCCCTATTTTATATTGCCATTCAATGTTCTTCCTTCCAAAACACATTGATGCACACTCCTCTGCAATTAAACTTATTTGCTACTTACCTGCTCGCTCCACCAACTTATCTATGTCCTTTTGAATTTCTACAGTCCTCCTCTCATTGTACAATTCATACAAGTTTTTTCTCATGTGAAAATTTTGAAATTGTCTCCTGCAGACCCAGACTTAGATTTTTTTTTCCTTTAAAGAAATAACTTCTTTTATTTCATTACTTTTCAGTACTGAAGCAGTTACAAATTTAAACAATGAAAAGCATTAATTGACATGACAGCAAGACAGCAGCTCATGCTGATAATTCCACTTAGCACAAATTCTTTTCAGCAGTTCCAACAGCAAAGCTTTGGCTGGGGTAATTCAAAGTGGAATATTCAAAGTGGTTTACGAGAATATTCAAAGAGGAAAAGCAAGGATCCCACTACCGACCCCTGGATACAATCTATCTTTTATTCATAAATCCTTTCAATGCTTCAGTGGTCTCCATCGTGCTAACTCCTCTAGCTTTACAACTGTCCCTCCCCATATCCTCTGTTTTCAGTCTCATATTTCAGTCCCTTTTACCCTCACTATTTGCTGTGATGCCTTCAATCATCGAGATCCGATTGAGAGGGCTAGTATATAATAGCAGGGACTGAAAGGCCTGGATCGAGTGAACATGGAGAAGATGTTTATACTCATAAGAGAGACTAAGACCCAAGGGCACAGCCTCAGAGTGAAGGAATGATCCTTTAGAACTGAGATGAGGGGGAATTTCTTCAGCTAGAGGATGGTGTATCTGTGGAATTCACTGCCAAAATGTTTTTTTTTTTGGGGGGGGGGGGGGGGGGGGGGCGGTGGTGCGGTGTCACTAGGTGTATTTAAGACAAGAGATAGACAGGTTCTTGATTAATAAAAGGATCAAAGGTTATGGGGAGAAGGCAGAAGAATGGGTTGAGAAACATATCAGCCACGATTGAATGACGGAGCAGACTCAATGGGCCAAATGGCCTAATGCTGCTCTTATATCTTATGGTCTTATGACATCATGGCAGTTTTTGACATCCATGGCACTACTGAAATGCAAATTGTTTTTCACTTCAAGTACTTGAACACATGAGCATAACCCAAGAATAATTTTAACTCAGTCAATCCTCCCTACCTTTGTTATGATCAAGAAACTCTTCTGTAAATATTGGAATATTAAACATGGACATTCTTCCTTGCTGATCATTGTCGTTCTTCTGAAGGGAAAGAACAGGCAAATTAACTTGAAGAGCTTACTATATTGAATACATTTACAATTTTTACATCTCCACCTGCTTTCTAATCTGAAAGCTAGCTCAGATGGAAATTTCAGATGGATAGGGAACAAGGAAAGGATACAGTAGCTATATTAATTAAGAATAGCATTAGTACAATAGAGAAAGATTGCCTTCGTTCTAAAGATCAAGATGCAAAATCAGCTTTGTTAAAAATAAGACTTACTAAAAAAAATGGTAAGATGTCACTGGTGAGAGAACGTATAGGCATTAACCACTAACAGTAACCACCCAGCAAAATATGGTATACAGGAAGAAACAATCGGGATTTGTGAGGAACACACAGTACAGCGATAATTGATCTATATAGATTTTATGTAGATTGAAGGAATCAGATTGGCAAAGGTAGCCTGCAAGTTGAGTTCATAGAGTGTTTTCACAACAGCTGCTGAGAGCAGCAACAGCCAACTAGAGAACAGATTAATCAATACCTGGTTGTATTCAATGAGACAAGCTTAAACAATGACCTTATAATGACGGTACTTCCAGGTGAATGTGCAGGTAATGTGAGTGAATTTCATAGTCAGTTTGAGAGAGAAGTGTCAAAGGTTAGTGCTACAAACTTAAATATGGGCATGTATGAAGGCATCAAAACAGAGCTGACTAAAGTGAACTGGAAAACTAGGTTAAGGAATAGGTCAGTACAGACGCAGTGGCAAACATTTAACGATATGTTTCATAAAAATTGTGAGAAAAAAGAGGAAGGATGTACTACGCCTGGCTAAACTTAAAGATATGAAAGTTTAAAGATTACAAGGTGTAGAGCTGGATGAACACAGCAGGCCAAGCAGCATCAGAGGAGCAGGAAGGCTGACGTTTCGGGCCTAGACCCTTCTTCAGAAAAAGGGTCTAGGCC